GCAGCTTGGCTGTATATGATTCACTTGATTCTGCTGCTCTTGTAAACCCACTGACTAAGATCGACCACCACCCTCGGTTGCAGACGCTGCTGAAGACCCGAGCCTTAAAGAGGTCCTTCACCTGGCTTGCTATGTTCGGGGGAGAGACGGCTAAGCCCGTAAAACTGTTTTCGGACGATGGCTTCATCCTGCACCTCTACAGGAAGCTGGACAGAAAGAGCCTGCGAGGGAAAGTGAAGCAGACTGTTCGGAGATTTTGGAAAGGAAGGAAAGAGTGCTATACAGGTGTGCCCGCGGCGATGAAAGCTTCGCAGGTTTATCCACCGAGGTTTGGAACGCAGGCGCCTCGCGGGAGGGCGTGGGGGTGCTATGTGGGTTTCGATCGAATCAAAAGATTATAGGATTCAGGGGTTTTTTTTCCGAAGGTGTGCACACATGGTTGCATGCGAAACAAGCAACGTATACAGGCATGCGAGGTGTTTGATAAACGACAATCAAAAACAGCAACCCTGTGACCTATGTGCATGGACCCTCAATAGATTGGGCTGCCTAACCTATCCTAATATATTCACTATATACGTACCACACCGGGGTTACATAACGATGGTACTTGCAATACCCGCCATACACGCGTTCTTTGGTGGGACCTGTAACCGGGACGTTTCGCTGTGGTCTTCTACAGGCTCCTTAGCATAGTGTGTATGTATGTACATATAGATATCTGTGTGTGTATAGACGATGCACATGACACGAGGTTTGAGCTTTGGCACAGCGATGGATGTTTTCGGGTAGGTTTTGTATGAACACAACCGACCAATCCCTGCTCCATAAGTTATGATTTAAGCTTTCTCTTTGCTGCCAGAAGTGTCGACTGGGCTCGCAATTCAACAGCAGTGTCCAGCCGAAGTTGCCTCAGTCCCAACGATTATTTGGGCCAGGGGAAAATTAGGGGGACTGTGTAGATCCAATATGTCTGAATACCAATCCTTGCCGCAGCTCGCTATGGTGAGGTTCGGAACAAGTTCCTGCTCTACGCGTGCCAATCACCGAAGCCCGACGACAAGCTCGTGGACTTCACGATGGATAACTGGAGTGATGCTGAGTTTCATGGTTGCATAGCACTGTCCTACAGTCCTGGTGGTTGCCGTCATCACTGTTCTTGAATGTCACTATAATCTGGTGGCATAAGATAAACAATTGCAGGGCCTGGCATAGGAACCTTGAGTGTCTTTCTGAGGCTCAACTCAGTGGAGTCCCTCCTCTGGAACTACTGGCAGGTCGAGTGCTTAATGAAGCGCAGTGACCTGGAGCCCCCTGTATATCCTTTCCCGTAGGGCTTGACAAAGTAAAGACATCCTGCATACAAACAAGTTATATTTCTAAACTGCATAGGTTTGCCTAGGCTCACCGCATAAGGACATGCAGCTCAATGAAAGGGAATGTTGCTACACTGTTCTTTGGTGGTGTCCTTCTGCACATAGCCAAAGCTTTTTGGGCGAGCTGCACACATGTGAATGCACTGCTGCAGCCGGCAAACTCTGCTCAGTTGTGAGGAGTGCAAGACGTATGCATGCTTTGTATAGGGCTGTGTGCAAGGTAGTGTTGGGTCTATATAGTATCAAGAGCATGGTACGCACTCCCGATGAAGTGTCCAATTGAGACATAATTAATTCCGGGTGACCAACATGATGCTCAGCTGCAAAAGCCAAAGCCCAGTGAAGTTCCAGTCCATGCAGAAGCCAGGGCCATATCCACGAGGTTTGCCTTTGATAGCGGGTGCTTTGCTGTATTGAGGTCTAGCCGGGGCCTAGGGCAAGGCAGGATGATTGAGGGACGGGGTCTTAAGGGGTGCAGCAAGGGTTGTGTGTCAGGGTGGTGGGTTCCGGGCAGGGGGCAGGGCGGGGCAGGGGGCAGGGCGGCATAAAGGGGCCAGATAGGCGTCAGATCAGCGTCAGCTGGGCGTCAGCTGGGCGTCAGCTGTGCGTCAGCTGGGCGTCAGCTGGGTGGGGCATCAGCTGGGTGGGCTTTCAAAACCCTGCATATTTGAAGGCCCGCTACATAGCACAAAGCGCGTCAGATAGCTGGGGCTTCAGAACGCTGTTGTTTCGAAGGACCACCGGGGGGCGTCAGATAGGCGTCGCGTCAGCTGGGCGTCAGCTGGGCGTCAGCTGGGCGTCAGCTGGGCGTCAGCTGGCAGCGGGTATGTGTCAGATAGCCGTCAGCTGGGTACTAGGTAGAAATCATAGGATTATGGCTTCCATGGGAAAAATAGATATGTGGGCTTTTCTGTGGTGCTAGTCACTGCTAGTCATGCAAGCTGCACTCAGTAACTCTAGATCATGCTGCACGACAGAGAAGTCTACTCATTCAGGTGGCGAATTGAAGCAAGACATGACTTCGGTTGTTTGCAACCTATACATCGCTCGGTTTCATGATTCCCTAACTCTTCCTTCTTGCTACAATGTTCATTGTCTCTCTCTTTTCTTTTTCTCTCGTGTTCGACCTCCAAGCCTCTTCGATCTCGGGTCTTTGTGGCACTCGCTCTCTCTGCTGTCTCGCTACCAATCTTGCCTTCTCCATCCTTGTGACTCTTTCTGTGCACGCACTATGTATGCACATGACTGCTCTGTCGCTGCTGAGATATTGGCCATGTGCTTTGCATTGTGTGCCCAAGAGCAAAGATCAGACCCGATCGTCGGTGCATTTTGCAAGCAGCGAGCTTGCCATGTCGGGATCTGTGGCTGTGGATGGAGAGGCCAGCTTCTCCAAACCCTACATAACAAACCCCTATAAATCCTATACAGAGGAGGAACTGACAAAACAGAGTAGGGGAACCCCAGAGCTTGAGTAGGGATGTTAGACAGTTCTATAGAGACAGAATAGCAACAACAACCCCTGCCATCGCCACCCGATTATACAACCCGCAGCAACCCCTTATGCATGCATGCAAGCCACAGGCCAGCCAAACCATCAACACAAGCAGCTCTACAACCACCACCAACAACGACAACAGAACAACAACACCAGCACCAAGACCACCGCCACCAACAACAACACCATTACCACCACCACCACCACCACCACCGCCAACAACAACAACAACCACAACAACAACCACAACAGCACACACCAACAACAGCCACTGCTACAACCACCACCGCTAGCACCAGCACCGGCACCAACACCACCGACAGCAACACCAACAACAAAAAACACTATGTAACACACCACCACGTTGCAACACGCACGCCATGCAAAACATGCTCACCAACAACTTGCATACACGCGACGAAGGCTGCGGCTATTCGTGTAGTATGCAGTAGGTAACATTGCAGACACAATACATGCACACACATGCACACCCACAACTGACGAGTATAATTATAGCATATCATGGCCAACCTTAACCATCATGTTCAACAAACCATGCACTTTTCTGCGAACAAGTCACATGAGCTGCAAAACGCCTGATTAAGCCTAACATGTGGCCCATAGAACATGTTCGTTTCTCGTCCCTATGTATCCCTAAACCGTGTGTGTGTGTGTGTGTCTGTGTATGTATGTGTATATATATATATATATGTGCATTCAATTATATAACCCCTGCAATATTCCTTATAAACACAGAACTATATAGAGTGTTTCGAGTCTTTGCAGAGTATATAGGTTCATTCAGGGCTACACACACACACACACATATATATATATATATACATGTGTATGTATATGTAAATTGGAAAACCGAAAACCTTATTTAAAACCCTATAAACCCTGCAAGGGGCAGGAGGCTGTCGTTCTCCTTGAAGACGGAGTGTCCTTTGATATTGGCGCATGGGGCTTGTATAGAGTCTTTTTTGAATTTGGGAGGGACTCGGGTAGGATAGGTGAGCATGTTGTGCTGCCTATGTACGCAAGCTGTGTAATGAAAAAGGACCTCGGAACACATGCACAGATACCTATGTATGTCCATATGATATAGTATAAGGATCTTGTAACTCTTGCAGAGGGGACCCACATTTGTAAACCTTCCCTGCATGCATGAAACAAAAGCGCAAGGCCTCCGCATGAACCACATCTATACGTGTGCCCCTAAACATCATGCACTTCATTGGTGTTATACATCGCTCTTGGACCACGCAGGTTCGGATGACCTGGAAGCAGAAGGTTGATGCCTACTTTGCAAAGCATCCGGGCGCTATGAAGCGGGTGGCATGGCCAATATTTAATCCCCTAGCTATGCCTATGTGCATCATGCAGCCAATAAACCCTACCGAAACCCACCGGAGTCCGTTGGCCTCCCACAAACCCGTCACTCCTACCTGATTCTATCAGCACTGTATATAAGTTAGTTAGGCAGGTATGAGTTCGCGAGGCCCGTAGTTAAGGCCCAGTGCAATATCGAAACCACACACGAAAGCGATGGGTTTGCAACGAGTTGTACTACCATTCCTTCCCTTAGGATCTATATAAGGATAAGCGCATGCACGGGTAGTGACGTAAGACTCATACTGGGATGTTTTTGCAATGCTGCAACAACACATGGGGAGTTATTGCAAGGATGCCCCGCAAACCAGCCGAGGTGATTGTGCATGATATTTATTGCATGAAAGGGGAATATCAATGTTGTAGCACATATGCTCTTTTTTGGTTTATCTGAAGCCGCTTAGGAAAGCCCTATGTATGCCCTGTATGGAGCCATTGTGATTCACCTCTGGCAAACTTATGCGGAAGTCTGTGATGACCTGAGATTATTCCCCATGCACTGTTCTGTGCCACTCTAAATACGTCTATAGTCATGGCCCTCTTGCCCCCGCCCTATATATCTGATCAGTATCGATATATATATATATATACATACATACCCACACACATACATATACATATGGCTATTTGTAGTCACCCAAAGGATGCCGTAAAGAGTCCTAACCGAGGTTATAGAATATATATATATATACTACATTATTTTTTACTGCAATTAAGACCCATGGTAGTCCCCTCGCCGCAAATGCCCAGTCGGCGTCCGTCGGCTCCATCACGACGACCGAAGCTGAATCTGCCTCGGATGGGCTGGATCTCCAGTCGTTTCTTGTCTGCACCATACGAACACATGCGTGTTTTACATATACATGTTTCATATCTCATGCACTGCGCACGTGTTTAGTACACTTAGGGTTTCAACTCCGTCCCCCTACAGCCGATCCTTTACGACCGATTCTTTGTCTATATCGACTTCGGATGCGACAAAAACGCCGGGGCCAGTGAAAAGGGAGATGAGCAGTCCCGCCACCCCGGGATGTACCTCAGCTGCTCTCACAGCAGCGCAGTTGGTTTTGATGAGGGCCAAGGAGCACTTTGCCAAGCGCCCACCCAAAGCTCCCCCCGCGACAGTGGAGGGCAATGCAAAGGCCAAGGCCCCCCCAGTCCCCGCTATGGTTTCTGCTGGTTGGCTTGTGCCTCCGCCTCCCATGAAGCGAGAACCCCCGACCCCAGGCCCAGACGGGACACCGAGCCAACTTGCACTGCCAGCGCCACCACCAAAGGCCAGCCAACCCTGCCAAGTGTTGGCTTTGCAGAAGAAGGACTTGCCAGGGGCGTGCAAGACTGGGATTCCTTCAGGCAAGAATCCTGGAATCTGTGCTGGAAATGGAAACCTTTGCTTGGCTGCTCCGCCTGCGGCCACAGCAGGCCCGGCTGCAGTCACTGACGCAGATTCGGCAGGCGGCCCGACGAAGAAGGCAAAGATGATTTCGCCGCCCCCGGCACCCACCAAGGTTACCTGGACCGACGGACAGGCCGCCACACCAGTCAGTGCCAACACGCCGCCCAAAGACGGCACACCGCCCAAAGCCAGCACAGCGTGCAAAGCCACCACAGCGTGCAAAGCCACCATGCCGGGCAAAGCCACCACGCCGTGCAAAGCCACCACGCCGTCTCCCTCGATCGAAGGCTCTGCAGCTGGCACTTCGGAGAGTGCAGACGACAGCAATCCCAACCGAGAGCTGATAAAGACCGTCGGCACGCTCTGCACGATGGGCGATGAGGAAACCGCTGTGCTGTGATGCATGCAAATCTGCACATATAAACATGATCTGTCGATGTGTGCTCTGTGTCCCGTAGTCTGCATGTACACACGACAATTTCCTGAAAGATGGCTATCGTCCCGGGGAGCTACAAGGAGAGGCAATCCTTGTACTCCCAGTTCAAGAGGCAGGGAAGAGTGGGGGAGAGAGAGAGAGAGAGCGAGAGGATAGGTGAGGTAGTATGCACGGACGGTATCCCTAAACCCTATAAGCCCTGTATATATCCCTACAGAAACCCTATCATATAACCCTGCAACCAGAGGCAGATGAGACGTGCGGGAACTGATGTGCCGGAGGACATCCAAACTATGTGGAGTAAGGCTGTGGCCAGCAACTGCAAGGCTGCAAAGACAACCCTTTTCCAAAAATGGTTGGCTTGTGGCAAAGACTACAGTCAGATTCTTGATCGGCATAGATACATACACAACAGTATGCTCGCATCCTCGTACTATGTAACCCTATTACTATTAACCTTAAGTATCACCGAGGGTTCAAACTCGATCTCTGTCGCGATTATACCCTGCATGAGCCCCCTAAAAACCAATGTGAACCCACCCTTCCATCCCAGGTTGCAAGTGCGCCACATACGGACCCGCGAGGAGTCTGCTGTTGGAAGCCACGATATGGGTTCCTTGGATGCCGTGCTGCTTGGATAGAACAACTCTTATACTTGCATCATCCGAAACACCAGCTAAGGATGGAGGACAAGAAGACAAATGTTGCAGTTGCACGGTGACGACAGTGACCTTGTGGACAACATCATAGCATCGAAAGTATCTTTGGGGCACTTCCGCCCGCACCCGGATGCCCCGGAAGATTCTAATGCCACCATGTACTACGTGCCTAGACTCAACCATCACTGTGGGTCGATGATTGGGTTTATAAATATAGCAAGGGATACAGAATTCTGATCGAGTTGCATAGCGGGGCCAGGAATGCTGCTGATCGATAGAATGAGGTTCCAACACCCGACAGAAAGCTCGATGTTCTGTATAGTGTTACGCTATATACACGTCACAAAACCATACTAGCATCATGCAGAGCAAAACCTTACATAAGTCGTATACGCAAAAACAAGAAAACGACAACGCGCGCGGCATCTAGATCTTCTATTAGGAAGACACCCTGCTGTGAAGCAGCTGTGCTAAGGTGACAATCCACCTCGGCCACTCGGAGCAGCAGAAAACAAAGGATGCTTTGCAGGTGGATGAGACCATGGAGCTTGAGGCTGGAAGTGAGGCTTGGCTGGGGGTCTACTTTCGCATCTGTGAATGTAAGGGCACTTAAAACTATCGCAGCTTTTCATGAAATTTCTTGGTAGGCTGCCAGAGCCATGCTGGGTGCCAACAACATGAACCATATGATGGTCAACTCCGCCCACAAGCCGGTCCATCATGTCGCTACTGCTGATGCAAGTGCTTCTAGTGCTGGCTGCTTGGGTTTCCCAGCTGGTGGCAGCGGGGACACGAAAGGCAAAGGCAAAGGCAAAGGCAAGACAAATCCTAACGCTCCCTTCCCAAAGTTTCCGAAGCCAGCCAAGAAGGAGAAGAAGCAGCTGCTTGCTTCGCAGTTTATTCATGTCAGGGCAGCCAACAACATGTGCACATCGTTGCTGTTGTCTTGCATCCATGAAAATAAACTTAGGGATATGATGCCGGAGTGTGGCTATGATGCTATCCAGTGGATGCTGCCGAAAATTGTAAAGGCAGTTGGCGAGGCAAAGCTGCTTGGTGTTCGGCTGCAAAGTAGCAAGCACCAGGCAGAGCTGAGCATCTTGATCAAGCACGCATTTAGTCAAGCCGTACATCATGCATGCATGACAGCGATGTGTATTCGGGCGAGCATCTCATGAGCAGCTGAGGTAAGCAAATGATTGCACATACCGATGAGCTGAACAACAGCTTTGCCAACTTGCAAGCCGTTGCGAGCCACGGGAAGGACCTATAGTTGGCTAGAAATCACGACACACTTCGACCTTGCCGAATGCACACGTAAACATTCCTATCGACTTATAATCCTGACCCTGCGCAGAACGTCCCCGAGAGCCAGTGCTTTGCGGCCATGGAGCTGGCACGCCAGCGATTGGAACTTTTCAATGTCGATTCGATCGAGGCTCGCCGAGTGGCTCCGCGGCCCAAGAAGGCGAAGAAGGATCGTGGGCATGGGATGAATCATAGGTTTCCTTAGAGGACCAAGTGTCTTTTCTACGTGTAGGGTTTATATAAGGGTATATTAGGGTTTATATATTAGGGTTCTATATATAGGGGTTTGTTATAGGGTTAAAGGCCTTCGCATGCATCAATGATGCCAGCACAGTTAGCCATCCTCCCATGCCAAGGACACCGTGGATACTATACACGTAGAGTTTCCAGGATTTTAGGGTTGCATGCTGTATTGGGCTTTTCAGATCGCTTCAGAATCATGCTTGACCTCGAGGCCACGCAAGAAAGAATGTAAGACTATGTAACTACCCCTGTCCCTCTCATGAAGCTTGCTTGCAAGCCTTGACACATCCCAGCCTCAACATGACTCAGAACCAGTACTTGCAGTCGAAACCCACGAACCGTATATATGTGAACCCATTGTTTTCTTTAGATTCCCATATAAGTTATAAAACTCTGTATGTATGTATGTATGTATATATCTATATTTATATATACATATATGCCAACGATTATGATCCCATGCTATATGAACCTTATGCGTATATTCTTATATATATATATATATTCTTTTTTTATTTATTCTTTCTCTATTTTTTTGCCTATATTCACGTTAATTACTATAATAATATCCAATACCCGTATGAAACCCTAGAAATCCTAAACGCATATACAAACCCCCGCACCCGAAATTTGGCTACAGGCCCTGACCATGGTGTCTTCAGGATTCAAAAGAGGCTTGCAGAAGTAGATTATTTGCACAAAGATCAGTATCCCAACCCTATGTCCCCAAAGCCCAAACCCTCGCCTAAAACCCGCGAACCCCTTCAGGAGCCTTAATTCGGGTTGCATGATCCAAAAGCACATAATTCGATGGACCCTGTCACCCCGCGAAGCCGCAGGTATTATAATCCTATAAACCCCTACAACGCCCTAAATCCCTAAACGGCCCTAAACGCTTTTATAAAACCCAGCCCATAAAACCCTAAATCCCTATGTCCTGCTTTGTGCAATCAATCCGGCACGTAAGGCACCGCGGGAGCCGTCACCTAATTAACATTTATGAGCCCAACCCAGTCATCCCTGAACTTAAATGCAGCCATTGCAGGAAAATGGTGAGCTCGCGGAAGCCGACGAGGATGAGGATGAACTCTGATCGCAACCTGGGCAGCCAAGGGTGTAAGGATATCTGCAGAATCGTGACAGCATGTTGCAAAGTTCAGTGGGCCGTTTATATGCATGTAAACCTTCGAAGGTTTGTGTTGCTGCAGCATCCTTACGTGTTTTCACGAAGATGGGTTTCTTTGCAGACCTCGCGGGCCACAGCTGACCCTGCGAGCCTGCAAATGCACATGGGGCAACGATCCGAAAGCATGGGCGCTAGCAAAAAAACAGAGGCGACCAATTGGCATTGCAACTGCCTTCAATCACCCAACACATCCGCGTGCTCAGCAGGACTGTTGCAAGCCAGAGCTGCGGCCAAGAGACCCCTGGAAGCGTCCACTGCAGCAGCATCGCCCAAGCGTCCTCGAGAGGATGTTAGTGGGAAGGCTCCGCCGGCAGGGCGGGAATCGTGCTGCTCTTTCTCGCTCGCTTTACGCTTTCTCGCTCTCTCTCTCTCTCTCTCTCTCTCTTCCTCTCGCTCTTGTACTACATCTCTCTCTCTCTCTCTCTCTTGCTTCTTCTGCACAATTCTCTCTTTCTCTCTCTGCCTCTCGCATGCGGTCACTCTCCTGCCTTTCCCTTTCGCTCACTCCCTCCCTCCGTCCCTTCGTCACTCCCTCCCTATCTCTGGTTCTCTCTCTCGCTTTCACTTCATTTTTTTTCTTTCTCTTCTCTTTCGCTTTCTGTCTCTCTCTCTGTCTCTCCCTCTGTCTGTCTCTCTCTCTCTCTCTCTCTCTCTCTCTCTCTTTCTGTGTATATACATATGTATATT